CCTTTATAAAAAAAAAAAAAAAAAAAAAAAAAATTAAGACAGTGTGTCACTGAGCTTTCTCTCTCTCTCTCTCTTTTTTTTTTGTATAGGGAGTTGAACTCAGAGCCTTGTGCTTCCTTGCCAGGCACAGTGCTGCTGAGCTACATCCCCAGTGCTCATCACTGAGTTGCTAAGTTGCCCTGGCCTGACTCAAACTTGAGATTCTCATGCCTCAGGCACTCTGGGACTATATGGCATTATATGCCATAATACATAGGGAGAAAATAGTGTTCAGGACCTGCAGTCCAAGGCTGGGAACCACCCATAATAGCTGCATTATTATTACTTCTTTTGGTACTAGAGATTGAACTCAGGACCTTGAACTTTCGAGAATAGTTGCATCTTTTACTGGGTTTTGAGTCATGGCTAAGAGCCTACCTGCATATGCTCTGATGTCCCTCAACAGATCTAGACAGCAGAGGCTACACCTACCTCTGCCATCTCTGCTGCCAACCTACACAGGGTAACTGGAAGCTCCCCATCACAATATCACAATAAGGAACTAAGGTCCATGGAGGGAGACAACTGGCCTAATATCAGATAACTAACTCTCAGGGGTATGGGACCTGGCATCAGCCACACACGGTGTGTGTGGGGGTTCCTCCTGCCCACTCAGGACTGTGAAGGAAAAGGGAGACAAGGCGGATATACCCACCTCCACTACAAGACCCCACAGACACAGAGCAGCTGCAGATTGTCCAGACTAAGGCTCCCTCACCTGTACAATGCAAACACCTTCCCATCTGCAAAGTAGATGTCATATTTCTTCTCATGCTGCAACTGATGGATGGGTATAGTGGCAAAGGCAGGAAGCTTTCTCCCGAAGACCACCTGGATCCAAAAGCAATACTCAGTGGTGAGCAGGGCCTGTGTGGCCATCCAAGGGTGCAGCAAAGACACAGAAGAGGGGGCCCTCAAGGCCCCAAGTGGGCAGCAGCCACAGTTCCTGGGCTGTCCTAGGCCTCCTCTTCTCATCCCAAACCAGCCACTGAAATTTCAGACACCATACCCAGACTCTTCACTAGGGGGCAGTGATGTGCACCACCAGGCTCCAGCAGTCACCCTTGGCTCTTACCTAGCCCTAAGCTAGAGGGACAGGGACCAAATGGAGGATGGGGTTGTAGGTTGCCCACAGAAAAGCTTTCAAAGGAAGTAGGGAGGGGGCTGGGGATTTAGCTCAGTGGCAATGTGCCTGCCTCGAAAGCGCAAGGTCCTGAGTTTGATCCCTGGTATCAAAAAAAAAAAAAAAAGGGAAGCAGGGAGAGAAAGACATGTTAAAGGCAGCGGCTAAGGTAATAACAAATGCTGTCAGCCTAGGATACATCAGGTTACCTATTGTCAAGATGTAACCATCCACCATCCAGTAACCCTCACCCTGTTTCCATGTGCTCCCACAGCTCATGCATGTTGCTATGCGTTGTGTGAGCCCCAGGGAAGAACTGTGCAGGACCTGCAGACACTGCTATGAAACCACTGCAGTAGAGCCATGTCTCAAGGGTGAAGGACCCTTCATCTATGGGCTGGGGGCACATGTGTCAGCCTACTGTCTGTTCACAGAACCTGGGCAGCAGACTACGATCAGATGATAAGACCCCTACACTAGAACCCTCACATTGGCCTGGGCCCCTACAGACTCGGGCCTCTTCTCCTCCCTGCAAGGTTCCCTCTTCTTTTCATGAAGCCACTCTGGTGAGGATTCTCAGCATCCCACCCCCAGTGACCCCTGCCACCACATCCCTCCCCAGATCAAGCCCACCCCTCACTGTCTTCTCTGCCGCTGTTCCCAGAGCTTGACACTGGTCATGCATGGCAGCTCAGCCCTGGAAGCAGCTCTACAGCCTTCCTAGCTCATTCAGAAAAGCGTTTCTGCCTTGGCAAAGGTCATATCAAGGTTACCGCTGTTATGTTTAGGCTTAGCCACGGAGAATTTGTGGGACTAGCATGGATTTGAACTTGGGCAAGCTCAGGACTGGCCAGGAAGAGTGAGCACCAGGCATGCTCATGGCCACACATGGCCCAAGCAGCAGTGACTAAACTGGTTCTCTGGGAGGGTGTGAGGGAGGCCAGGAGAAATCAGCTCTACTTCTGCCATGACATATTTGGAATAGAGGACATCCATACTGTATCCACCCCACAGGAGCCCAAGGAGCTGCTGTGATCCAGCTATACATGTGGGATAACGGCAGATGAGGAGTGGCCCAGAAGTCCTTTCTCCCCCTTGTCATGTTTGGAAAGGCTGGGCAGTGTAACTTCAGGGCTTGACTTTGTTCTCTGCTACACACTGAATGCCAAACTCAGGCAGGTACCTCATTTGCAACATGCCCCCAACACCGTCTTTAAGTGAGAGGCACAGCTCTACCCACGAGGCCCAAATCACAAAAGCCACAGGTCATGGCAGCGTCTCTTTTCTGTGGGCTCCTGGCTTCCTCCTTTCCTGGTAGCTTCTCAAGTCCTGCACATGGACAGAGCCCCGCTGTGGCTCATGCCCACCTGTCTTCCGGCAGCTGCCACAGTGCCTCTCTGGCCCAGACCCAGGCAGGTATGCGCAGCCATAAACTACTCTGGATGCTATAAGAACACAGAGCACAAGATCCCTTGTGAAATGCCAGCAGGGACTCACAGCACCAAGCAGGACCACACCCTGTTTAGCTTTTCTGAGGCTGCACAGGCAACAGATCAAGGAGCCCAGCGTTGCCTGCAAGGCAGCCAGAAGAGCAGCCCAAGGAAACTCCACAAGGCTGCCAAAAAAGCATTTAAACCCAACAGACACAGCGGAGGAAAAACTTACTTCCTCAGAGGAAACCTGTGCCAGGGACGCCCCCATCGCTGCCATGACTCCAGCACCCTCCTCAGCTGTGTACTCAGATCCACCCTGGGCAGCATCTTGGGATGCCACAGAGAAGCCCCATCTGCTCCTGGGCTGTGGGCACCCCTCCTGGTAGGGTCTCCACTGCTGTCTCCCCACGGTGCTGCCTCTGTTCAGTTGCCAAGCCATGCTGAAGGCCAGTCTGTCCTTACCACCTTGGGCCGTGTGGCACCCATGCCCCTAGCATGACAGCACATTGCATGCTCACAAGAAATCTCTGTGCACAGCCTCTCTGGGGTCAGGAGCAACTGTGGGAAGAGGAAAAGCAGAGAGATGACATGGAAGCCTCGGGTGAGGTGGGATCAGGAAACAATAGCATCCCCCATGAAAGACCTGGGGTAGCACAGGGTAAGAGGACCGAAGTACACGAGCCTTGTAACACCAGGGCTTCAGCATCATGAAGCACAGGCAGGTGTCAAGAGGCCACTGAGCAGAGCCTAGACAAAGGGTCTATCTGCACAGCAGGTACAGGTAGGTACCCCAAAGCACAGCAGTCCAAGAACATTAATCTCCTGAGCAGCCTGATGAGAATAGCCCTAGCTGGGCACAACTTAGCCAGACTGAGAAATGGGGAAAAGGACACTGGATGAGCTCATGAAGTGAACAGAATCATGGGAAAAGGCATAGGAAAGGGACCATGGACAATGCAGGCCCAAGGAGGAAAGCACTCTCCTAAGTGAGTCACAGGGATAGCTAGATCAGTTTCCAAGGAGACTGAGAGGCAGAGAGAGGTGAGAGGCCTACCCAGGAACAGGAGCCCCTCCTCCATAAGACCGTACAGAGACTAGTGTGGGTGTCTGCTGCGGGCCTTGCTGTTCCCTACTTTCAGCATGTAGTGGGCACTCAATAAAGATTGAAGAGTGAACAAAAGGACAGGTAGGGCAACAAGTACTACCAAGAGGGAAACACTGAAGGTCAGGCCTAGGGAAGGGCAGGCCCCAAGTGTGGGAAATAAAGTACTGTACAGATGGGAGCAGGAACAAAGATAACCTCACAGAGACTGAGGCAGGAGGCATGTTGACAGGGACAGGTATTAACGACAGAGAAATAGAACCTGAGTCATTGGGTTTACCCTGGGCCTTGGGGTAACCCTAAGATGGCATTCAGCACCTCCCTCCTACTTCCTCCTGCCCATGAGACCGGAGTGGAGCTGCACTGGATGCCCAGTCCCCTCAGGACTCCTGCAATGAACCAAGGACATGTCAAGCTTGAGAGCAAGACATAAATGGCAAAAAATGGCCCATAAGAAGTGTCCGGAAGAGAATGAAGGAGGCCCTATCACCCCAGGGCCTTGATCAGCCATGTCCAGGCCGAGCAGTGCTTTCGTTTCCCCCTCATCAGATGGGAGTTGCCCTTGGCTTCTCCCCAGAGCACATGCTGAGAAGTCCAGGTTGACCTGGCTTTTTGTCTGACCAGCAACTGCAGAGCTGCACTTCTTCACTCCCTGCCAGTGCTAGCCCCCACTCTGGGCTGGTACAAGGAAGGTCAAACTGTACAGAATTCGCCAGAAAATGAAGCCTGCCTATTTCACACAGCATCTCAACACCGTTTTCTCTCAATTTTCACAGACTTAGTCCCATAAGGAAAGACAAAGCAAGAGCAGGTCTCAGGGACTGAGGGTCACTATGGAATTCCTGGGTAGGTATGAGACACAGAGAATATTCAGAGAATAACATAGGATTCAGCAAGGGAACAGAACCTGCAAATTCAGGATGGAAAGAAAGAAGGGTGGGCTGGGCATGGTGGTGCACGCCTGTAATCCCAGCACTTGGGAGGCTGAGGCAGGAGGATCAGTTCTAGTTCAAGGCCAGCTTGAGTTATAAGCAAAATCCTGTCTGAAACAAAAACAAAACAAAAACCACAAAGCTGATCTGGGCAGCACCATCTTACCCAATAGCAAATTTCCCAGGCCCCCTGCCACCACCACTGCCTGTTGCTCAGCAATGCAGGGCAGGGCCAAGAGGAAGCCCATGCTCACTGAGAGGCATCCAGTACCAAACCACAACCAAGCTGGGGCCTGTTGACAGGTCACACCAACACTCCAGATCCAGAAATCATACAGGGTGTCGGGACCACAAGGAATGGGCAGACGTTGGCTATGGTAGGAATGCATGGTTGTTCACTCACTTCCTGAGACCCACAAGCCAGGGCTAGGACCTCACATTCAAAGATTTCCACAATTCCTTTCTGCTTGGAATGAACAGGCTTGCTAGAAAACCTGGCCATTAGAGTTCCATCACTGCATGTAAGACTGGCCGGCAAAGCAGGCTCCAGGTGGTGCCCTCTGAGTAAGCGGAGGGCGAAAGGCTTCCCCAGCTGTCCCTACACTCCAGATCTCTCCAAGTGTGGGTCCGCCTCCTTCCACATTACAGACTAACACCATTTCCAAATGCTTTTTCTCCAATAGGCACAGAGCAGGAATACTCATAGGATTCCAGCTTCTTTGGATCCTTTCACATGTCTACTCAAAATTTTTAAAAAATCTACTTCTCAATTGCTATTTCTGCTTCACTTTTAGGAGGAGGACATTAAGATTCCCTGACAGATGCCACAGCAGAAACCTTCCAATGTGGGGAAAGGGGAAAAACAAACAATCAAAAAAAAAATCCAAAACGTTTTTTTTTTTTTTTTTTTAAATCGGGAATTTCACAATAGGGGAAGCAAACAGATCTCTAAGGACAGAAAACCAAGGGAGGTCCAGCTGGATGCTCCTGGCCAGAAGCTGGCACGACGGGGACTGTGGAGGAAAGCTACATGTGCCCTCTGACGTCTCCAGGGTTTCCAAGTCTACAGAGTCAGAAAAGTGCCCTCTCCACCATGGAAGGAAGAAGCCCCAAAGCTGGAACTGGGAGGAGGAGGAAAACTTTCTAACACTTTTGTCCACACGGGGCAAGCACCTAAAAGAGTCAGGTCTAAGTGTCACCTCCACTCTGCAAACCAAAACGCTTCAGGAGTTGTCTCAGAGTCACCAGAGGGGTCCAGAAACCCAGTGGGGTGGACATACCTACAGTTTAATCCTCCGCTTCCA